AACAGCTAAAGTTGCTGGAGCAGTTAGAGCAGCTAGACTAGTTGGAGTAGCTAAATCAGTTCGAGCCACTGAAACAGCTACAGCCGCTGGAACAGTACGCGCAGCTCGAACAGTTGAAGCCGCTGGAACAGTTAAAGTCCCTGGAACAGTTGGAGCAGCTAGAGCCGGTCGTGCTGCTGGAGTTGCTAGAACAGTTGGAGTCGCTGGAACAGCTAAAGTTGCTGGAGCAGTTAGAGCAGCTAGACTAGTTGGAGTAGCTAAAACAGCTGGAACAGCGCGTATTATGGTGGTGCTGCCAATGGTGCTGGCGGTGGGATTGTTTGTGCTAGTGCTGCCAATAACGGACGGCGACAGAGGTAGACTCGATTTAGGTCTGACTGTCACCTGTAAGCCACTGCGTGATGGAATAAGTCGCGCACTGGGTCCACTGGGCGCATTGGACACGCTGGGCCGTGTGGCCAGCTGTACAGTGGCCACTATGGGCAATGCCAGAGGATTGGACGGCATGTTCATGCATTTGGACTTGGTAACAGTTACCACAGGCGGCGCTGCGGTCGCCGACGCTGCAGTCGACGGCGCTGCAGTCGGTGCGCCAGTCGGCGGTGGCCTAGGAATCACAGTAATGGCTGCCGAAATGTAGGGCAAGGTATAGCCGGTGGTGCCAATTGCACCACTGCTGCTATTAGCATTTATGCTGTTGTTGCCGGCAGTGCTCATGGTGGTGGTAGTCCTGGTGGTGCTAGTGGTGCTGATGGTGCTGTTGGTGCTGCAGATGGCGCTGAAGATGGTGTTGGTGGATTTGTTGCTGCTGCTACTATTCTTGGGTATAGCGGATATGGTGATGTTTGGCTTTCGCGCAGCAGGTGGGTAGACAATGGCCAGAGGCAGTGGTGTCACCAGCGGTGCCACCGCCGGGGTCGTCTCAGTCCCTCTATCTTGCGCCGTCCCTGGGATGTTGTCTGGGGCAGAGCCCAGAGGGGGGCTCGGCTTGTTTTGACGCACCGAGCGCGACGCCAGCAGCTTGTAGAGGCAGTCAATGATGTTCTCAAAGAACCATTTGTCCTCCAGCTGATAGCCAATTTTGCGCATTTCGGCCAGCTCCAGGTAGAAGTTGCGCAGCCCCAGCCAGGTGACCTCGCAGCGTTCACTACTGCACTTCAGTTCGGCTGCAACGCGCGACCAGAGCTCCTTGTAGCTGGTCGTCTCCTGTGCGGCCATATTCACATTATTATCTAGCAATTGTGGCAATTCCGGCACCGTTTTGAGCACATTTATCAGATTGACAATAGTGCGAAAGTGATCGATGGAATCGAACCAGCCGTCCTTCAAATACAGCGACAGCTTGCATACGGTGTTGGGTGTTTGTCGAATGTGCGGTTCGAGAAAGTTGAGCTGCGTCAACAACTGGGAGCTATCGCTGCTGTTGCTGTTGTTGTTATTATTGGAATGTAGCAGCTCCCACTCGTAGCGCGTGTGTAGGTGCAGCCAGATCTTCATCAGCTTGGTCGCCTTCTCGCGCAGCTCATTGGAGATGGCGCTCCAAATGAGGCCGCGATGATGATAGTTCTCGTAGTGGTCATGATCAGTGTCGTAGAGCTGGGGATAGGCGCGAACGGCATCAATCAGACGCTGCTGATCTGGGCTTATCTTATAGTGATCCGAATATTCTGCGTCTACGTCTATAATAGTTGGCTGTATATTCACGATGGTGACATCGTCATCCCCACCTGATACATCCAATGGTGGACGACTGTCGCGCCTGCCGGACTGCAGCGGAAACTGAGCCACGTGCGTGTACAGAAAGATCAGTTCCTCCTCGTGCAGCATGATGGGACGTGCACGCGCCCGACTTCGACACCTCTGCACCTGCCGGCGATAGCTGCGCAGACGGCGCACATGGCACTGATATTTGTAGCGCAACTCTGCCCAAGTACTGATGCATTTGTTGATCTCCACTGACATCTTCCGTGCAATGTCCTGCCACAGTTTCTCCTTGAACACATCATCTCTGAAGCGCCGATGGTGTCGGTTATAGAGCGCCGATTTCTTTCTCACCAGCCGAATGAGGCGTCGCTCCGTCAAATATGTTTCCAGATTATTGGCGAGCGTTTGACTGGAACAGTTTTCGACGCTGTTGCTCGGCGGGCTCGCTGCTGCGGGACTTACGACAAACTCCATGGTCTCTTGGTCGAGATCGCGATACTTATCTTCGTCATCGTCTATAAAAATTGTATTACAGTTATATACCGCCATCGACAATCTTATAGAGCTGCTTACCCGAAATCATCAACGGCCTTGCTTCAGCATTTGCAACTTTTTGAGTCGATTTTGCTGGCATCTCAATAATTGTTTATATGCAACAATTACAATATGCACACCGCGCCAGCAATTCGCGTCGCTTGCTCAAATAACAACAGATATAATATCGAAATAATAGAAACAAATAAACGCGTAAACGTGCAATTCCTAATGTCATGCTGCCCGTTCGTCAATCAAGCCACGCATCAGACTGCTGCTCCCTGACTCCCGGAATGTATTGAGTTTACACGATTATTGTAATTCAACACATGGTTTTCGAATATTGGATTGAATGAAGCTGCAACTTCAACAAGAAACTCGTTTACTATTTCTCGGTTTGCGTCTAAGAGTATTGCGCGCAGAGAACAATTCAACGATAACGCCACACTCGAGCTATCGCTGCCAAATATATCGATAGCAATTAAATGTGTTGAACAATGCCCAATTTGCGCGTGAGTTGCGCGCGCTGCTTAAATTCAATTGGGTGAAATTGAATTGAATTGGGTGAAAATATTAATGTATGAAACATTTTAAAATCATTGGCAGAATTATTAAAGATTATTTAAGTGTTAAACTGACAAAGGCTAATTAGTTATATCTGTATATGGCTTAATTATTATAATAGACTTATCCATACCAGAACGTATTATTATGAAAAAGAGAAAGATACAAATAAAACTAGATAACTCTACTACAATGAGCTGGATTTAAGTTGGCAATATTCTTACATTATAGTGAGACTAACATTAGTCATTAAAATAGATACATCTGTGCCTAGAACATAGAGCTTAGAATTGGAATTTTATAATCTTTAATTATCTAAACGAAATTATCAACATTGAATCACTAACTTGATGCTAGAACTAATCGTTCTTGTTTCAATACACGAGATGAGCCAATTTTTAGAAATTAATCATTTGGTATGTTTCGACTCAGAAATGTATTAACCGGCTATCCTTGACACTGACTGCGATCATTCACAGCGTGGCCCACCTGCTAGATGTGTGTATGCAAAACCGAACCCATTTCAATAATGTTATACAGTATATGCGCATACATAGCCACATACACTTACATATTTAACATATATATAAGTGTAATAAAGAAAAGAGCAAATTAAAAAGGAAAAAAGAAGCGAAATGTGTGGCAGCCACGACGTGCGGCAGCAAGAAACTTGTTGCCATGGATAGCACCAACACAAAACAATTTTATTTTTTTTTTTCAAGGTCAGTTGTTGAAATAAAATTAAAACAAACAGAACGGCAACTAAGCCTAGACATTTGTGTGTATTACGGCTTGGCATAGACTCAAATTACATATACGTTACAAGAACAAAAGGAAAAACGAAAATTAACAAAAGAGAAAAGTTGTTAATAATATAAAAATAAAAGCTTTAAAGCTCTTTATTAAAAGAGAAAAGTTGTTAATAATATAAAAATAAAAGCTTTACTTTAGTAAATCTTAAAACGCATGTAGCGAGTCTTAGTTCTGCTTTAAAATTTTTATTGATTAATAATATATATAAATATATGTATATATATGTGTATTGTGTCTACTTGTTAACTGTTTTGTGTGCGTTACTTACCTAGCTCAAGCCATTAACAGTTTTAGGGTTTCCCCATTCATACAGGTTATTCAAATGATGTTTAGGTTTGGTACAACAAAATATCAATCACTGAATCAGGAACTGGTATCTTTATATCAAATAGTATACTTAACATTCTTAATTGGGCTGATGTACCAAAATTCTAAAAAAACGAAAACGGGTCTGAAAAGCTTATGGCTAAACCATAAGGAAGAAGGCAAACATCAATATCTCTATAAATAGTGCAGACCGTCTTTCTGTCAAAGGGAAACCCTATTAGTCGTAATCGACTTAGGTAGAGAAGAAAAACAATGTCTACTCGCTGTCATACGTAATACTGCGTTCAGGGATATATATATATACACACACACCCACACACACGAGATATTCGAATAAGTTAATAAAAATCCACAAATTATAATGATTGATTGTCTCTCGATATAGAGTGAGCCAATTTTCTCAGTATCGAAACTAATTAAGCTGCATATATCATAAATATTCAATTAGTTGGCTATAAATTTTTTGATATCGAAATATGATTAACATATATTAAATAAATCAGATCGTTCGCTTCGCAAATTGTGTATCGAACCGCAACAGTTATTGAATTCGAATTGCCATTTGAATTTGAATTTCAATATCAACTTTAATTCCAATACGAATTCGAATTCGAATGCGAATGTGAATGCGAATGAGAATTCGAGAGCGGATTCCCATTCGATGTAGAAACGAAACGAATTTGTTTGGTTTCCATCTCTGGATAAGCGTCGGCAGCGCTGCTGGCGTCGCAGCCTTAGTGGGGCTACTCTTGCTGTTGTTGTTGCTTTTGTTGTTGCTATATGTGTGGCCGCTGCTCCGTTATCGTAGCGATTGCCGGTTGTCGACGCCTCACGACGCGTCGTCCGCAGTCTTCGTATCGTTTGCTTGTTGCTGTTGCTGTTGTTGTTGCTGCTGTTGTTTTTGCTGCTGCTGGGTGGTTGTTCGGCACTTCGTACTGCCGCCGCCAAAACATAGCCAATTCAGTTTGAATTCTGCGTTCAAGCGCTTTAGAACATTATTTTTAAAAGCTTGGCTTGAATTGGATCTTAAAATCGGTTTTGTTTTATTGTTGTTGCTGTTGTTAACTTTTTTCGTACTATTTGTTTACATTGCGAGCATCTGTCTGTTGGCGTGAGTGTGTGCGTGCGTGTCCGTGTTTACAAAAATGATTAACTCCGTTGTTAAAATATTCGCCGTTTATTTTGCTAAATATTATTATTGAATTTTGTTTTATTTTAATTCATGACTCTCTCTCTCTCTCTCTGTTCCGCTCTCTCTTTCTGCTCCATCATTCGGTTTGTTGTCAGTAGTCTCATCTTTCGAGAATTGCATTTGCAATTTCAATTTCCCACTGAATTATTATTTATAGAATGTTTTTTATTTCTGCCGTGTTTTTGTCATTTCATTCATTCGCGGGGCACTCGAAAACGAAATGTAATGAAATGAGAGAACATGTATAACATATTAATGAATATAAGATATATATATACATATATCAAACAAAATAGAACAGAGAGAGTGAGAGAGGTCCGTACAGTACCCAGCGAATGGGACAGCACGGCGTCCACACACCCAAATCGTAATGCATATCTTTATTGATCATCTTGCTCGAATTTCAGAGCGAAATAGTTGGTCAAGCGATAAACGATCCAGAGCACATAGACGATTACGAAGGACCAGGAAGCCATGTGCACCTCACCGGCAGCCCACCAGATGTTATTGAACATGTCGTCCGGCAAGATATTGCCCCGTCGCCAAGCGATACCCGTTCTCTATACGCGCGGCACACACTATGAGGTCGGCTTCGATATGGTAAGCAGCACTTTTGCACCTGTCCTCCAGTCCTTGCACCCTTAATAGAGCATGCACACACACAATACAAATACAGCGAAGTCGAAAAGTCACGCAAAGCTTAATTAGAAACGTATCAGGAGAAGGAAACAAATGGATGGCCTGGGAAAGAACTCGAGCACACTTTTGAGCTAGTTGCTAAATAAATTTTTTAAGTTAAACTTTCAATTGATCCAAACACTAGAATTTGTTGATTATTTATGCCCAGGACGGGGTGAACGTTGAGCTGACATTAACTCGGATGGATTGCTTTAACATGGCTACTGTGATAATTATGCGAATGAATTATTTATTTATTATATTATTTATTTCGATAGAAGTCAAATTATTGAGCATTTTAAATGAAAGCCACAGAAAATTATCTCGAAAGAAACGCCAGATGTAAATTGATAACTGATTTGTTTTTTATATTTTTAATCGATAGTAGTAAAATAAGCATAGCTATCGATTTTTTTTTCTAGCTCTTTGAGATCAACGAGCTCAAAAAACGGTCAGCTACATAGACTTAGTCTCAGCTCGTCCTCGTCAAGACTATATCTATGTGTATATTTTATGGAGTCTGCTTCATGTATTTTAACAAAATCATTATAATCTGATTTCCCAATGGGTTCAGGTTACAAACATAGTAGAAAAGCAAGGGAAAGGTGTTTTTTTTTTCCTTCATGATTATTGAATTCTGAATGCATTCGAAATTGTCATTCAAGCAGAAAATGTATATACATATGTATGTATACACTATATATATGTACATATATTCGACTAATGATCTATCTTCTTTAGAATTGTGTAGTCGTAACTTGCTTTCGAACGATTTTCCTATAATTACAGTACTTATATAATCTGGTAATCAAATTTAAAATAATATTGCTCGTAATTGAGCACATTATTTCACATTATCATCTTTAGATCTATTGATAGAATCGAGAGGAAATTTATATATTAAATACACAATTAGCCAGAGCGAGCATCTAGACGTGGAGCGTTTCTTAGAAGCCCTTCCATGAGATTTGATACCAAATGCAATTTTAATATGATTTAACCAAAGAAAAATTATTATAGTAGATATAAAATTAACAATTTACTATAATATTAAATATTATTTGAAGGTCTTGATAACTTTCAAAGCTCTGCTAATAAATCTTTAGTTCATCTGCTCTGCATTATATCTATATGCCTAAATGTCTATCTACAAAGATACTATAAAAAGATGTTGTCTGTTGTTATAACACCTTATTATTTTTTTTTTCTTTTTAACACTTTTAGATGTCTAGCAGTTGCTCTAATTAGCGCTAGATTTCAGTTAGGTTGAGTTGAGTACTTGGCGCTATCTGCTCTTGCTAGCTTATCAGTTGGTGCAATTACAGCTATATGTAGACATACATATATATGTAAATATTTCTATATATATATATATA